ATTCTTCCATCATGCAGTATTTTTGCTCTCTATGCTTTTTCTCATAGTAGCTTCTCCTTGACTGTTCCTGTTTGGCTGTGACACAGATCAGCTGTGATGCTGCCATCAACACCTTTGTTTATAGAAGTTGGTGCATGGCTTGTTTTTCACTACAGTCCTGTTTCTTTTACTGTGACTAACTGGGTGCAAAATAAAAAAACAATGAAATCTAAACAGAAAATTGTTGAAATTCAATCACATTGATCACAATTTGGTTGTGGTTATTAGGTAGAGATGTTCATTTTTTATTTATTTGTCTATAGAAACAGCGGCATTGACTCTCCCGCTGTCCTCTTCCTTACACTTACAGGTGACATTAAAGAATAACAACCTCTGTTTCACGGGAAGAACCCCTCAGCAGAACCAGAACCACTGTGAATGTGAGAATGATTGCGAGAGAAAAACACCAGGTCTGGATTCACCTGCAGAACTTTCTTGAGATCTGACAGGAAAAATGTGCCTCGGTCATTTATTCCAGTATCAAAAACATTTTCTTTAAAAAAAAGAGTTCTCACTCCTAAATTCTGAGTCAAGAGAATGATATTTTAAGTTAAAATGGAAGCAAATTTTCTAAGCAATCAATATAGAGGCTGGAGCATGCATAAAATGATCAATTTTCTCCACAATATTGGCTCTAGCTCTTTTGGTCATTTATGCTGTGATGATGAGGTTTTTCCAAGCCCATGCATGGAAGCCTCAGTTCTTGAGGTAGTTAAGTCCCAGTCGTGTCAAATAAAGGTTACTAGTGCCACAAAATAAAACAGCTGGGTTCAAGAGGAGGCTTGAGAAATTTATTAATCTGAGTGATATCAGAAAATTGTATTCTTTAAAAAAAATGGTTTTATCAAAAGATAAATGTTTACTGATAGGGACCTAATGCTATCTGTGCTTGAGTATAACTTTCTCATTGTCTTAATTTCACTCAGGAAAGGATTCTGAGTGGTTTGTTCATTTAGAGGATTCCTGATGAAACACAGCTGCAAAAATACCTATAGAAGTTGTTTCTGTGCAGACAGTGTGTCCTTTTCTGGCAGAATCTAGTTCTTCTTGTCCACAGATCTAAAACTTCACTGCTTCTCATTGAAGCCATACAACTCTTAAACTGCTTTTCCCAGAACTTCATTTGGATATGTTTACGCGTTTTGGTTTCAGACATACCTAGAAGTTTGTATAGAAGAAGATATAACTAATCTTAACCTAATGTGGTCCAGGCATGAAACACAGCATGGTGCTGTAGACCAGGGGTGCTCAAGTCCAGTCCTCAAGAGTTACTAACCTGCAACTTTTTGATGCACCCCATTTTTAACACACCTGAATCAAATGATTGTGTCGTTACCATGCCTCTGCTGGGCATGGTAACGAGCCTTTCAATTCAGGTGTGTTAGAAAAGAGATGCATCTAAAAGTTACAAGATGGACTTTTGTCTACACCCCTGCTGTAGACAAACATGTCCAACAGCTACAGGGAGAGGTGAAGAACAATCTATGATGGACAAGTTTCCAGTTGACTGTTAAACTTTGGGCCTGCACTGTGGCACAGTTTGTTACAATGATGCCTTGCAGCAAGAAAGTTATGGGTTTAATTCCCAGCCCAGGGTCTTTCTGAATGTTCTCTGCATGGGTTCTCTCTGGATACTCTGGCTTCCTCCCACAGTCCTAACCATGACTGTTTGGTTAACTGGTCTCTCTAAATTGTCATTAGGTATGAGTGTGTGTGTTGATGACGACAGCAGAAGGGAGCCGGTTGACAGTGCCTTTTGTATCTCTGCTTCTTTTTCTGTGTCTGCGTCTGTCTCCTTGAATGCCAGATGGCCGCTCAGATTGAGCCTGGTTCTGCTGGAGGTTTCTTCTTGTTTAAAGGGAGTTTTTTCCTCTCCACTGTCACTACAAGCATGCTTGGTGTGAGGGATTGCTGTTGAGTCAATGAGTCGATGCAATCAGCTGGTTTTCCTTAGATAGAGAACTTTGAACCAAATCTGGTTGAAATGTCTCTGTAAAGTATCTTGAGATGACATGTTATATACAGGTCCTTCTGAAAATATTAGCATATTGTGATAAAGTTCATTATTTTCCATAATGTAATGATAAAACTTGAACATTCATATATTTTAGATTCATTGCACACTAACTGAAATATTTCAGGTCTTTTATGTTCTTAATAAAGATGATTTTGGCATACAGCTCATGAAACCCAAAATTCCTATCTCACAAATTTGCATATTTCATCCGACCAATAAAAGAAAAGTGTTCTTTATACAAATAAGTCAACCTTCAAATAATTATGTACAGTTAGGCACTCAAAACTTGGTTGGGAATCCTTTTGCACAGATTACTGCATCAAAGCGGCGTGGCATGGAGGCAATCAGCCAGTGGCACTGCTGAGGTGTTATGGAGGCCCAGGATGCTTCCATAGCGGCCTTTAGCTCATCCAGAGTGTTGGGTCTTTTGTCTCTCAACTTTCTCTTCACCATATCCCACAGATTTTCTATGGGGTTCAGATCAGGAGAGTTGGCAGGCCATTTGAGCACAGTGATACCATGGTCAGTAATCCATTTACCAGTGGTTTTGGTACTGTGAGCAGGTGCCATGTTGTGCTGAAAAATGAAATCTTCATTTCCATAAAGCTTTTCAGCAGATGGAAGCATGAAGTCCTCCAAAATCTCCTGATAGCTGCATTGACCCTGCTCACCCTTGATAAAACACAGTGGACCAACACCAGCAGCTGACATGGCACCCCAGATCATCACTGACTGTGGGTACTTGACACTGGACTTCTGGCATTTTGGCATTTCCTTCTTCCCAGTCTTCCTCCAGACTCCGGCACCTTGATTTTCAAATGACATGCAAAACTGAGCAACAGTCCAGTGCTGCTTCTCTGTAGCACAGGTCAGGCGCCTCTGCTGTTGTTTCTGGTTCAAAAGTGGCTTGACCTGGGTAATGCGGCACCTGTAGCCCATTTCCTGCACACACCTGTGCACGGTGGCTCTGGATGTTTCTACTCCAGACTCCACTGCTTCCGCAAGTTCCCCAAGGTCTGGAATCGGGCCTTCTCCACAATCTGCCCCAGGGTCTGGTCACCTCTTCTCGTTGTGCAGCGTTTTCTGCCAAAATTTTTCCTTCCCACAGACTTCCCAGGTGCCTTGATACAGCACTCTGGGAACAGCCTATTGGTTCAGAAATATCACTCTGTGTCATAACCTCTTACTTGAGGGTGTCAATGATGGCCTCCTGGACAGCAGTCAGGTCGGCAGTCTTACCCATGATTGGAGTTTTGAGTGATGAACCAGGGTGGGAGTTTTAAAGACCTCACGAATATTTTGCTGGTGTTTAGAGTTAATTTGTCGATTCAGATGATTAGGTGCATAGACCTTTTTCATGATATGCTAATTTTGTAAGATGGGAATTTTGGGTTTTCATGAGTTGTATGCCAAAACATCCATATTAAGACAATAAAAGACCTGAAATATTTCAGTTAGTGTGCAATGAATCTAAGATATATGAACGTTCAAGTTTATCATTACATTATGGAAAATAAGGAACTTTATCACAATATGCTAATATTTTGAGAAGGACCTGTAAATAAAGAGACTTGATTTGAATTTGGTTAGGAAAACGCTGAACCCTCCAGTTCATAAGTCAGTATTGATAGCCCTTCCTATGACTCAGTAACCATGAAATAGCTCTCAGGCGCAACAAGGTCTGTGACCATATAGTCGGTATACTAGAAAAATATTCTTTTAAGTTACCAAAAAGGTACATTTAGACCAGATATTAATGAAGCTGTTCTTGGTTTATTCCAGTTGTGTATGTTTAGACAAAAATGACTTCTAAGACCCTTAAAGGCCAATTTTAGTGAGGCCATGAACTTTACCAAGTCCTCCGCCTCTGACATTTGAACACTCTAATTACACAGTTCCTTCATAGCACATAACACAAGGGTGAAGACTGAACCATTGGACTACAGTGACGTCACCCACAGGCCTGGCTCTAGGGATATGGCCTTGATCTCCCCAGCCCAGGAGGGGTATTGCTGATCCCTTCATCCTAGTATCATTTCAAGAGCAATTGATCAGTTTGATATCTCATGCAGAACAACTGAATCCCCTGCCAGGGACAACTACTGACAACAATACCTATTCAGCAGTCATGAAAACGCTGAAAGACCTTCCTCAGGACAAGAGCTACTGTAGATCTGAAGTCACTTTCCTTAGACGGGAATGATAGATTTCCAACTTCACATTGGGGATGAACTATGGCCCTGATTGGAACAGATCGTCTGGGGTTTACGAGGATATCTTCTTAACACCTTCTAATGATATAGATATATTCCCCCTAAACAAGGCCTTGGAGTAGACCTATAACTCTGTGGAGGGATTAAAATACTGGTAAAACAGACCATGAGGGTAATATTTGGTAGGTACCATAAACAAATGGATGAACTGATCGATAAAATCTTTATAGGTGAACTGACACAAAGACCTTCCTCTCTCTGATCACTCTGACCAAGGGTCATCAACAGTAAAGCTGGATCTGATCTGATTCCCTTTGCCATCCAACTCTCTGAAGCTGTAAGCAAAACTATTTCCAAATATTCAGAAACTGTCAGATCCTTATGTCCCTCCACCCCCCATATACTTGCTCTACCTTCCCACAGCTCTTTGAATGCCTGTTACATGGACGGTTTGGTCCAGCCGCAGCTGTTTACACTCTGAAATACAGGCTGGTGGTCTTTTTGATGGCCCTCCATGTCAGAAGGTTTCACCATAGTACTAATAACCCTCAGAAGGAGTAATCTCGCCAGGGAACACCTCCTCTCCAACCACCTCTAAAACTCTGTTGTTTTAACCAGTTTAATCAGTTTCTCAGTTAAAAGTTGACTTAAATAAAACTATATAAGTAATTAAATCTTTTTAGTTAAGTTTTGTGTTTCCTCTGAAGCTAAAGGTTGTGTCTCCTACTTACCTTTTATCCTCCACCAGGGTCCCTCTCTGATTGAGTATGAGACATCTTTGAACTCTATGTTGACTGCTGGTCTCCTTGGTAATGAGGAGAACCTCTGGGCCTCCGTCAGGCTGTTGTCCACCTTCTTCAAGGGTGCATCCACCTTCTTCTGTGGTTTTTGTAGCAGGGGCGTCTGTTGGGTTCTCATCGGAGTCTTGTTGATTACTTCCTCCAAACAGACACAGACCGTTCGCGAATCCAGCATCAAGTCTGGGGGTCCGTTTGTGTTCTGAAGGTAAGATGATGTTTGTTTCATCTTTAATATGCTTGTTTTCTACTTAACATCAAACCAATTTTTCATTTTAGTAATTTAATTTATAAAATCTTTAACTCTTTTCATTTTCTATCAGCTTCTTTACTCTATGATTCAACTGGTTGGTTAAAAGTATGAAAGAAAGTTGCTTCAGACTTTTTATGAGGACATGTTAGTGCTTTAGCTGAAGAAAAGCAGTAGGCGTACTCAGATTAGCAGGCAAATTCTCAGCAGAGGTCCGGTTTATGTAGGAGGCTTTGAGACATTAATCCGTCCCAGAGGTCACTGTCGGACAGAAGAGTTCCCTCTAAGTGAACTGATTGCTGCTGTGAATCAGCACAACTGACAGCAACACTCCAACACCTGAGCAACCTGAACATTGGGTACACCTGATGTTCCAAAACCAGACAGGTCTCTCTTTTACAGGCCTATTTTCATGCCTGTAAGATTCATGGAATATTATTAAAAGTAATTGTTTGAAAATAAAATTTGTATCTTTTTTTGCCAATCTTTGCTGCCATTGACTGCTACTGGGTGTAAGCACTAGGGGGCACACTCTCAGGAGCTCTACACTTATACAATGCATACACCAAGGTTAAAAAATGATATTGAAGCTGGTGTTGATTGGAACAGTAAGAGTTGGCTCTGTTTCTTTTAGGTAACTTAAAATAATTTAAAATACTCAATACTACCTCTAGCGGTCGATACAATATAGCAAACTAAGATTTCCTCTGAAGATGTGGCTCAGAAACATTTAAAAACACAACAACAAAGAGAGATCAGATAATTGTGAGATTATCTGAAGTCATATGAAGTGGATTGGAATCAAAACTAAATCAAAACTAAACGAAACTAAATACAAGTGTCCGTACTTCAGTTCAGTTTTTACTCTATTTCCAATCTCTTTTTTTATGTATATTGTAAAATGAAATGTTCAGGCTGTCCACAAGGATGTCCTCAGGTGGGTTTACCTGTGCAGGAGACACATCAAACAGCCTCTTACAGGAACCTTTCTGTTTCAACTTATTCTGACTGTTTTATTATATTCTGTTTTTCATTAATTTTTTCCTTTTTCTATATAAGCAGAAAGTCTGATTCTGTCTCCAGATTTGTCTCAATGTCTCTGAGGACCTCAGGAAATATAATCCACCATTATGCGAGACAGAAACTTAACAGCTTAATTCAACTCATAGGCTAAATTAATCTGTTAACAGGATACTGCATTGGCTATTTCAAACATTCTAACACACCTACTGCACTATGTGTGTGTGGTTCAAACTTACCATAATAATGGAGTTGGTCACACTGGGATTATGCACGGACCAAGCGGCCATCAGACAGGCCATGGCAGACAGACTGCTGCTCTGGGATGCTCTTACTCTGAGGACACACCAAGTCTCCGCCCCCTTGAATTAACTCCTCCCATTCCCATCCAGGTCCCCAGGGCAGAACTTTAGATAAAAAAACTACTGTTTTTGGATTTAAACTAAAAGCCTGTGGATAATTTTTACATTCATTCAGGCTCAAAAAATACAACTTAACTGAATAAAAACCTATATTATGATTATAGTGCTATTTATTTATA